CCCGCGCCCGCCCCTCCCCGCGCGCGCTCCCTCCGGGTCGCCTCGGATGGCGGGGTGGCACGTGGGCTGCCTGGCGGCGCCGCGGACGGACGGGATGGGGCAGCGAAGCGCCCCGGCGAGGGGCCACATCGGAGTTGGACTCGCGATCATGCTGGGAGACTTAGGGGGCTTGGCGACTCGGCCTCGCTCGACCTCAGCTTCCTCGTCTGTAAATGGGAACACAGCCCTCCCTCTCGGGGCTGTGCACGCCTACCCGAGGTGATGGGGAAAACTGGCGTCTGTGGAAGGTGTGCTCCACGTTGGAGAAGTGCCTGGCTCATAGGAGGCCTTCCGTGGGGGGTAGCGGCTGTGATGACCCTCCCCAAGCCCCCTTCACGTTTTCATTGACAGGTATTCGTGGGACGCCTACTCTGTGCCAGGGACCTGCATCTCAACTTTCTCCTTCCTGAAATGGACGTAATATTAGCTTCACCCCCATAAGACTGTTGTAAGGATCAGAGAAATTAATGTTCGTAAACCGCCAGCTGCAGAGCAAGGACTCAGTAGTAAGCATTGGTTCCTGGACCTCAGGCTCATCCTCTAAAAATGAGGATAATCACTGGGCGCAGTGGCTCAAGCCTGTAATCCCAGCACGTTGGGAGGCTAAGGGGAGAGGATTGCCTGAGCCTGGGGCTTCGAGACCCGCCCGGGCAACTTGGTGAGACCTCATCTCTATAATAAATCAACAAATTAGCCGATTGTGGTGGTGTGTGCCTGTCGTTCCAGTGACGTGGAAGGCTGAGGTGGAAGAATTGCCTGAGCCCAGCAGATCGAGGCTGCGGTGGCCATGAGTGTGCCACTGCACTACAGCCTGGGTGACAGAGTGAGACTCCGACTCAAAATAAAAATAAAAATGAGGATAATCAGATTTCACAGCGGTTTTATGAGGACCCAGTGGATGACACCTGTCAAAGGTTTAGCTCAATTCTTGGCAGGAAGCAGTTGCTGAGCAAATAGTCCCTATTGTGATGGGTAGCATCCCCTGGCACACACAGGCACGTCGTGCCGCCTTCATACTGAACATCTCTGTGCCAGGCCCGGCACCAGGTGCCAGAGACAGGGCAGGGAAACGTACAGATTGTCAGAGCTGGAAGGGATCTCAGAGGTCATCTTGCCCCACACTTTCCCTTTACTGACGAGGAACCCGAGGCCTGGGGCCATTGCCAAGATTGCACAGCAGAAGTAGGACTCACTCTGGGCTCCTGCTGCCCTCCTGCCATACCCCATAGTTCTCTGGGGCCGGCCCCACGTGCCCCACCCAGCCTATTCTGACCGGGAAGCAGGAGGACCATCTTCCACCCACGCTGAGCCCATGGTGGCAGCTCCAGGGACATCAGCCTCCTTGGACCAGTAGGTCCCATCTGCTCGATGCTGTCGGGGGTTGAACTAGAGGCCCAGGAGGCATCTCACCCTCTCTCCATGGGTCTTTGTCTCCATGGCCCCGTGGGGATCACCTACCATGCTTGTTCTTTTTCTGCTCTTCCTCCAGCCCAGGCACACCAGGGATGCCCAGGAAGGTATTGTGTGAGTTCCCGTACCACACCAACAGCTCCTGGTCCGGAGGGATCATCTGCAGGGAAGGAGGCAAGAGGAGGTGAGGGCCCGAGAATCGGGGGTCTCTGCACATCCCCCCACAACCAGGAGATGTGAATCCAGCCTCAGCCCTGAGGAAGCCACACTTGGGTCTGTTGCCACCCAGCCATCCTCGGCAAGTTGCACAAACACAGAAGGCCCTGGGGTGTCCTGCCCCTGGTGCCCTCTCCCTATCTCTGCCCAGGCCTTCTCACCATCTCTCTCCAACCTTGGGCCACACGAGAGCTCCCGAGCTGACAGCAACAGAATGGAAGCCTTATGGCAAGCAGAAACAATGGAAGGTGGGCCAGGCAGGGTAGCGCACACCTGTAATCCCAGCACAGGAGGCTGAGGCAGGAGGATCGCTTGAGGCCAGGAGTTTGAGACCAGCTTGGGCAACAGAGCGAGACCTCGTCTCTACAAAAACCAAAAAATTAGCCTAGTGTGGTGGCACATGCCTGTAGTCCTAGCTACTCAGGAGACTGAAGTGGAAGGATTGCCAGAGCCTAGGAGGTCGAGGCTACAGTGAGCCATGATGGTGCCACTGCACTCCAGCCTGGGTGACAGAGTGAGACACTGACTTAAAAAAAAAAACAGCCGCAGTGGCTCATGCCTGTAATCCCAGCACTTTAGGAGGTGGAGGCAAGAGGATTGCCAGAGTCCACAGGTTTGAGACCAGCCTGGGCAACATGGCAGGACCTTGTCTCTACAATAAATCAAAAAATTAGCTGGGTATAGTTATTCCAGCTATCAGGAAGGTTGAAGCGGAAAGATCACCTGAGCCCAGCAGGTCGAGGCTATGGTGGCCGTGAGCGTGCCACTGCACTCCAGGCTGGGTGACACAGTGAGACTTCGACTCAAAAAAAAAAAAATCCATTTCTCCATGCCCTAGATCTATGGCAGAGAGCCCACAAATGATGACAGGGCTCTGCTCTCTCGGGGGCGGATTGGCCCCAGGGAAATGATGAAAGCTGTTGGTCAGAGGGTTTTGCAGTAACAGGCCAGGGAGATGTGAGAGGCCGGCCACAGGGCAGCACCGACCATAAATCCTACTCTCGGGACATCTCAAGAGGCCCAGTAGGCCTTTAGTGAAGGCCAGTTCCCCTCCCACATGGGGAACCTCAGGTCTTGGCCAGGTGGGCACATGAAGAAGGGACAGCTCATCACTTTCCTGAGCACAGGGACCCCAGAAATGCTGGCCTTGGCACCTGCCTTCCAGGTCACTATGTGATGTGCCCAGAGAAATCCTGAACCCCCAGTTTGTTTTCCTGGTAGGTCCCCCTTCAGTTGAAGCACAGAAGGTCAATGGATTCCATCTAGGGGTATCTGAAACCACCCCAAAGTAGGACCCCCCTTTGGCCTCCATGGACAGAGACGGTCCCTCCCTTTCCGTTCACTTTTGGCCTGCCACACTCAGAACCCTTGGGTTCAGCACGCCTTCCTTCCCCTGTCAGATCCTGGAAGACCCTCAGACCACTGCAGTCATCTGTGCTGGACCTTGAAAGGAGGGCAAAGTTGAATGGGAGCAGGAAGGTGGGAGGTGGCCCCAGTGAATGCCATCCTGCTAAAACGGCTTGGAGGCTGGCACCGTGGCTCAAGCCTGTAATCCCAGCACTTTGGGAGGCCGAGGCGAGAGGATTGCC